GGCTTGATGGGGTCCCTGCACGTGGAAGCTTTCCCATGTTAGCAGGTTTTCCACTGCACCAGTGGTGGGAGTCCTGGATGATCCCCGGACGTGCAGCCCCTCCCCTGCTCCTTCCCTCACCCGCAGCAGCGATCCCAGTCTCTAGGGGAGGGAGTGAAGTTCTCTCTTACCCTGTTCTAGCTCCTGAGGCCGGCTTCAGCCTCTCCGTCCTCCATCGTCTTGCTGTGGGTCTCTGAGAGTCCCTGGATTAGAGTTATTGGTTGAAATTCAGTTGTTCTGGTTCTTTGGTTGTAGTTTGGAGGGGAGAGAGTCCAGGGTCGGCTCACCCTGCCATTTTGCTGATGTCACTCTGCCCTTGGGTCTGCCATTCTTGTGTCCTCTCTCCCAAGATGCCCATTTCCATTTGTCCCTTCTCTGCCTTTTCTTTTTTTTGAGGAAGATTAGCCCTGAGCTAACTGCTGCTGCCAATCCTCCTCTTTTTGCTGAGGAAAGCTGGCCCTGAGCTAACATCCATGCCCATCTTCCTCTACTTTTTATATGTGGGATGCCTACGACAGCATGGCTTGTCAAGCGGTGCCATGTACGCACCCAGGGTCCTAACCAGCAAACCCTGGGCCACCGAAGGGAACGTGTGCACTTAACCGCTGTGCCACCTGGCCGGCTCCACATTTCCCTAAAAAAAAGAATCATATTATATATCTGCATTTTGCTTCTTCTCTTTATTTAAGAATTTATCATGAATATCAAAAGATTCATATTAAGAATAGTAAAATTTTAAGATTTTTATTTTAGAACTTATTCATACAAAGTTTACTTTCAAATTTAATGTATTACTTATTGGATTTTTTATGTAGCTTTATTTTTCTCCTCTTCACTTTACTCGATAGTGCATGAAATATGCGTAGCCAAATAATTTTTAACAGTTATGAAATTAGAAGCAGTATGAGAATGCTTTCACAGTGGAATGAGGTGTGGCGCAGAGAGTCTGTACCAACCACAAGTACCAAATCAGAGGATGGCCCCAGATGACAGAGGTCATTATGCATGAGTTCATGTTCTGGCTCTGCCACTGAGCATCTGTGTTCTCTTAGGCAAGCCACTCACCACTTCAAGATGTACAGATGAGACATTATGTGTTAAATGACCTCTGAAGCTTCCATGAGTCTACTTAGAATGCAGGTATAGGGTATTCCAGAAACGGGAATGCAGATAAGTTTAAATATGTAGGAAAGGTGCTGGCATCCTCAAATTCCGTTGGGCTTGTTTGAAGACAGCCTCCATTCTTCAGGTTTCTATGCACAAAATGGCAAAGAAAATTTTTGTCAGTGTTCTAGAACCTATTCTTTCACAAACAAACAAACAAACAAAAAATGGCTCCTTTGGAGAATCTATTTTGGCCACTACAAGAAAACCAATTAAAAAGTAACTACTTCTATTCCTCTATTTCCGTATAAATGACTTTTCCTGTCTAAATAGGTCTACCTGTCACTTTGTAAACAGTTTGTAAATATAAGCAAACACCAGTGACTTCTACCCATGTTTTTAGCTTTTAATGGAAAGTGTAAATATAGATTACTCAAAAATGACATACGAATAATCATCAAAAAGTGAACTCCAGGGGCCGGCCCCATGGCTGAGTGGTTAAGTTCACGCGCTCCACTGCAGGTGGCCCAGTGTTTTGTTGGTTTGAATCCTGGGTGGGGACATGGCACTGCTCATCAAACCATGCTGAGGCAGTGTCCCACATGCCACAACTAGGGGGACCCACAACAAAGAAGATACAACTATGGACCAGGGGGCTTTGGGGAGAAAAAGGAAAAACATAAAATCTTTAAAAAAATGTGAACTCCAAAAAAAATTATAAAGGTTCACTCTTACCACCTGAGACCTATTGAACAGGTTTTTGCCACTGATAAAATGTATTATAGTGTATCAGTAGATGCTAAAAAGAATTATTACGTCTTCTATTAGAAATCAATGATCTCAGATAAATAACCATGAGCATTGACCAATAAAACATTCAGTAATGATGGAAACGTTTAATATCTGTGGTGTCCAATATGGTAGCCCCTACTGAAATGTGGCTAGTGCAAATGAGGAACTGATGTTTTTGTTTTACTGAATTTTAACTAATTTAAATTTAAATGGCTACATGTGGCTAGTGGCTACGATATTGGACAGAAAGATATAGATATCTTGGGACATAAATTTTAATTAAGTTCTCTCTATGGTTAAATATTTCTAAAATATTTAATGAACATTGATGATATTTTTCCTTCTGCAAGAGAATAAAATGAATTAATGAACGTTATAATTTAAATTATCTGAAAAAATCTCCACAAAGAAATATTACTAAACTTTTAATTAGGTTTAACTTTAGCAAAACAGATCTTCATAAATCATAGTTTTAAAGTAGAAGTATATAAACTTCTACTTTTGCTCTAAAGCACTTTTTTTTTAAAGATTTTATTTTTTTCCTTTTTCTCCCCAAAGCCCCCCAGTACATAGTTGTATATTCTTCATTGTGGGTCCTTCTAGTTGTGGCATGTGGAGTGCTGCCTCAGCGTGGTTTGATGAGCAGTGCCATGTCCGCGCCCAGGATTCGGACCAACGAAACACTGGGCCGCCTGCAGTGGAGCACACAAACTTAACCACTCGGCCACGGGGCCAGCCCCTCTAAAGCACTTTTTAAAAGCAGTGAAATCATGGCTCATCTGAAGAAACGTTAACAACTTAAAATATACTCATTCTTTACAGCCTCAGAACATTTAACTACAAGTTATGGTTTTTTGCAAAATGTTAGTATCTAAATATTAACAAATTATGAGAAATGTTCAGGCAAGGTACTGGGGGTTTTTAACTTCTTTTATCCATCATTACATATTTATACTTAAAATAAATGGAATTAAGTGTAAAGCTTGAGTTAAAATAACAATTAAGAAACACAATTAACATTTAAACTTCTTTTAAAAGTTAAAATCTCTATGACTTTAAAGCAATTATAAACTATAATTTTCACAGATCTTTTAAAATTATGGTTTTTTACAATGTTTATTGAATCTCACTCAAGTTTTTAAATTACATAAAAATATACAAGTGCTATTATGCTTAAGGAAGCACACCATGTACTTCACAACACAGGACAAGCTGGACAAGTGTCAAAATCTCCAAGAAAATAAACTGTGAAAACTTATATGTATTTAACTATGAATTAAGTACATGAAAACTGACCAGTTTTTGCTCTTTTTCTTCCAGTTCACCTCCATGTGGCATCTCAGGAAGAGGAAGATATTTTCCCAAGAGAAGGCAAAAGTTGGATTGTCCTGGTAAATCAGATTTTACGCCATAGGGGCAGAAATTGTTATACTAACAAAAATGAAATTAGAACACTGTCATTCCTCATGATACAAACAAGCATTGGGTCAGACATAAGCCATCTCAGAGATCTGGTTAAATTAGAGAAAGTCTCATGATTTTGCTATGTGTTTGCACCCTGGCAACAGTCTGTCTATAGCCAAAACATCTACCTTAATGGCAAAGAAATAAAAACAATCCTGGAAGCAAAAGACATATTTAAGTGGTTAGCCGTGATTGAATGAGTTTATCAAGAGACACAAGAATCCACCAAAATTACTAAGAGCACCATGTCCACCAAAAATACCTGGCTAATTAATATACTAGGGAATGCTGATACAGTATCACAATTACTAGACACCTTACAATTGGTAGAAGCATGTTCATAGGTAGCTAGCTCCATTTTAGTCATTCAACAAGTAGGTTCACTTTAGCCATTAGCAATAAACTAACTAGGGTAGAGTTATAGAAAATTATAAGACAGTGAAAGGTCCCAAAGGATAAAACTTATGGGCACTAAAATGAAGCATTTTTAGGATATTACCAAGAAACCAATTCTAAACTCCAAAATTAACCCACAAGGGGAAAACAAATGAGTAAGAAGGTTTTGAAATATAGTTATCCAAAGCAAAATAAATTAAGCTGAATATGGCTTGAAATAACTCAATTTGAGAATACTATAGCCTCCTTAACATACAGAGTTGATAAAGTATCCTGAAACACATATCCCAGATAAAAACCTCTTAAGACACACAGGAACTTGAGTAATTACTCTATCAAATGAAATTAATATCTAAAGCATATTGTTATCAAATAGATAACTTCAAAATTTAAAAGTGAACAATTCCAATTCCAGTCACAATAGAACAACTGGCATTGGCATTGGGCTTACTATTCCACCTTAAACAATTATAAATATGTGAATCAATCACTTAAAATAATTACACAACAGACATCCCAGGTCTGTGACCCTTGAGAGAAAAGACACATGAGATGAGCTCCAAACTGCAGCACAGAAAAGTAGCTTGAACAAAAAAGCACTGTTCTTGCTGGATAGAGGAAACAAGTATCAGAGTTAAGGGCTGCTGAGGCAACAGATACTTTTGGGATAATATACTGGAGAAAGATGAGCTATGTAGAGAAGGATCTCCAGACATCTGCAGAGATGTCTGTTTGAGTCTTTGGGCCATTACTAACCTGCATATATTCAGGGCAAGACTCCAGGAGGCATGGTGGAGAATAGCTACTGGGGATTGGGAGGTGAATGAAGGACCCAGAGATCACTTAATGCTGAGAGACACTGAAGTTCTAATTATCTAGAATAAGTGGCTTTACTGAACTCCACCTGCATTCAGCTGAGACCCCAGAAAGACCACACTTTAAAAGTAGTGAGCCCGCCCTGATGGCCTAATGGTTAAATTTCTGCATGCTCTGCCTTGGTGGCCCAGGTTAGTTCCTGGGTGTGGAACCACACCACTCATCTATCAGTAGGCATGCTGTGGTGGTGCTTCACATAGAAGAACCAGAAGAATTTAAAACCAGACATAACTATGGGCTGGGGCTTTGGGGAGGAAAAAGGAAGAAGATTGGCAACAGATGTTAGCTTAGGGTGAATCTTCTCCTGCAAAAGAAAAATGTAAAAGTAGTAATATTTTGACTCTAGACTAAGAACTACACTAGACCTACCCAAATACAAGCTTCAACAGGATAAAACTTCTCAGCCAGGAAACTGCTACCAGAAAAAACTCAACACTCTAATAAAGATCACAAAATATAGGCTCTCAACAATGTAGCATTTATAGTGTCTAGTATAAAACCAAAATTAGTAGGCATGTAAAGAAACAGGAAAATGTGACACATAATCAAGAGAAAACTGTATGTAGGAAAACAACCAAAGATGACATAAATATTGGAATTAACAAATATTTTAAGATATTAGAAAATGTATTCAAAGATTTAAGGAAAAATATGGACATAATAAATAAAGAGGAACAAAGAGTTTGTATAAATTACCTCAAGTCACCCAATCAGTAACTAGCAACACCAGGTTTCAGACCCAGGCCCTTGAATTACAGAGGCCACGCTCATTACAACTAAGCTGGCCTAACCACAACTACTTGCATTGCTCTACCTTATATCAAAAGAAAACTGACTGCTTAGTACACTAAACTGAGACATTATGTTGAGTTATCCTCCCAGACTGTTAACCAAACTGTAGGTTCTTGCACTCCTTTCTAATACCTGAAAGTTAACACACTCCAAGCATTATCCGTACATTTTCTAGCATGACACCATAACTTGACTTTTTTTCCAGTAAAAGAGAATTTGTCTGACAGTCATTTTAATGAACTAATCTAAGCCTCTGTTACTCCTACCTAATTAATAAATAAAATAACTTACGGCCTAAATTCAGTAGTTTCCATAACAATCATTTTACACAATATCAGATAGTTGTGATCTTACAGAGGCTACTTTCTATGAAGAGGTTGAAATACAAAATAGAAGCTTATCAGAACCAAACATTTAGAGACACATTTAAGGAGAATATGACAAGACTTTTAAAAAGACACATTAATGGTTTTCTCTACAGGAATTTTCAAATTATGAGGGCATCAAAATGTAAAAAGTACTACATTCAATTCCTAAAATTTTAGAAACTTCTCCCTCTTTAATTATGAGATTTTTTAAAAATGTTAATATTCAAAGGGAACACAGAACATCTACTATTTCCCTGCTCTCCTGAAACCTTTCTTTCCTATGGCTAATAGTGATAAGTACTTCTCATTTCATATATTTCTCTTTCATTATTTACATCGACAGTCTTACAAATTCCAGAAATGTCAGAGATAGACATAGGCATTTAACATAAGCTTTGTGGATGCCCGAGAATTATAAATAACTCTGCCTGCTTGGACCCTCTAGCAGAATGGAGGATGACCCTCCAGATGGAGCCCTTCCCAGACGGATGACAGCTTTGGCTGATATTTCTGTCTTTTTGCATCCCCTGCACTTTGTTTTCTTAATCTTTTATGAATAGTTCTGTGGACAGAGGGAACCATGGCCATAGTACCATGAAAGAATATGAGCAATCTGGAGAAAGAAAACAAAGTGAAGGATGAAGAAAGCATGAACTAAGAAAAGTCAAAATGACTCTTTGCAGGGTATGCAGCCACTATGTTCCAAGGCAGAATCCAACCCTTTTGAGTCCGTTGTGTCTAATGTATCACATCTAGATATCTTGCTGTCAAAGATATCAACTGGGCAAAAACACTGAAGTAATGGTAAAAAAATAGATTGTTTTCTTTTATAATTCCCTTCTATTGTAAATGTTTTTCAACATAAAATATAAACTTCAAAAATAAAACACACGTTTTCTCACAGGTAAAAATTCATGGAGAGTGCTGTCAGCATCATGGCAGAGTGAGCTCTTCCTTTAGTCTCTGTCCCATAAGATACAACAAAAAGGACATTCACAAATCAACAGGGGACATTCACACAACAGACATGTGAGAGATCCACACAGCCATATGTCTGAAGTTGGGGGTGCAAGACTCCCCCAAGAGGCAGAGGAAGGAGGTAAAAAGATCTCCCCCACCCTCACAAGTGGCAATGATCTAGGGTGTGGGACCTCACATGGCAGCTGGTGCATGACTCTGAGAGGAGATGAGAGAAAAGGCAGCCCTCCATGGGAATGCTTGCACTCTTGGAGTTGCCTCACAGCCTGTGGGAATGCTCCACACTGAAGAAGCTAAGCAACTGCAGGGGCATCTAAACCAAGCCAAGCAGCCCAAGCAGGCAGACAGTGAGTGCAGACCGGGAACGCACAGGATTGTGCCAGCAAAATAAAGTGCCTCTCCCTGCTTCTGCCTGGTGCACCACCTTGGCTGGCCAGCTAGAGTAGGGGATCCCTGCCAGAGAGCATATGGGCAAGTGAAGACAGGTCCTGTTGGCACTGTTTCCAACAGACAAGCACATCTGCCAAGAGTCACAGCAGGCTCAGAAAACACAGCTCCTGCCCAACCTAGCGGTAGAAGGTGGAATCTACACAAGATATGACCACCATGTGATGGCAAAAGTCCATGCCATCAAATAGCATGAAGAAGTATATTAACACAACAAACCAGAAGGAAAATGACAAGTACCCAGAAATCAATCCTGAAGACACAAAAATTTACAATCTAAATGACAGAGAATTCAAAATGGTTATCATAAAGACTCAACAAGTTACAAGAAAACTCAGAAAGACAGTTCAATCATGTCAGGAATAAAATTAATGAACAGAGGGAATTCTTTACAAAAGAGACTGAAACTATTAAAAAATCTGAAAGGTTGGAGATGAAAAACACAATGAATGAGATAAAGAAAAATTTGGAGTCCTTGCAAAAGAGTGCTGATATTATGGAGGACAGAATTAGTAATTTAGAGGACAGAAATATAGAAATGCTGCAGATGGAGGAGGAGAGAGAACTGAGACTAAAAAAAAACACATGAAGAGATTCTCCAAGAAATATGACTCAATTAGGCAATGCAACAACGGATTATAGATATTCCAGAGGGAGAAGGGAGGGAGACACGAGCAGAGCTTATTCAAGAAATAATAGCTTCCCAAACATGGGGAAGGAGCTGGAATTACATGTAAATGAAAGTAATAGAACTCCTAATTACATCAATGTAAAAAGACCTTCTCCAAGGCGTATATTAGTAAAAGTGGCAAAAGTCAATGACAAAGAAAAAATATTAAGGGAAGCAAGGCAGAAGAAAATAACCTACAGAGGAACCCATATCAGGCTTTCAGCAGATTTCTAAGCAGAAATCTTCCAAGCTAGGAGAGAATTGAATAATATATTCAAAATACTGAAAGACAAATACTTTCAGCCAAGAATACTCTATCCAGTGAAAATATCCTTCAGATACAAGGGAGAAATAAAAACTTTCCCAGATAAACAAAAGCTGAGGGAGTTCATTGCCACAAAACTCCCTGATAAACAAAAGCTGAGGGGGTTCATTGCCACAAAAGCCCCCTACAAGAAATGATCAAGAAGGGCCTCATAAACAAAAGAAGGAGTTTACAAAGACTTGAGCAAGGAAATAAACAGACAGACAAAATAAGAAAATTGCAGCTTTCTATCAGAACAGGTTAGCCAACACTTAGTTATAACATTAAGGATAAAGGGAAGGAAAGCATCAAAAATAACTATAATCACTTCATTTTAATCACAAACTCACAACACAAAATGGAATAAGTTGTGACAACAATACTTAGGGAAGAGGAAAAGGATTGAAACTGCTTAGACTAAGGAAATAAGAGATTATCAGAAAATGGACTATCTTATCTATGAGATCTTTTATAAAAACCTCACGGTAACCAATAAACAAAAATTCAGAACAGAAACACAAATGACAAATGAAGAGAAAACTGAGAAAATCATCATAGAGAAACACCAAACTGAACTAGCAGTCAGAAATACAAGGGACAAGAAACAAAGGAAATAAAGAACAACCAGAAAACAAATGATAAAATGGCAATATTAAGCCCTAATATATCAATATGAAACTCTAAATGTAAATGGATTGAATTCTCCAATCAAAAGACACAGAGTGGCTGGATGGATTAAAACACAAGACCCAAGAACATGCTGCCTCCTGGAAACACATCAGCTCTAAAGATAAACAAAGTCTCAGAGTGAAGGGATGGAAGATGACACTTGAAGCTAAAGGCAAACAAAAGAAAGCTAGTGTTGCATACTTACATCAGACAAAGTAGACATCAAGGTAAAAAAGGCAATCAGAGACAAAGAGGGGCAGGATATAATGATAAAAGAGATACTCCAAAAGAGGACATAACGCTTATAAATATATATGCACCAAACACTGGAGCACCAAAGTACATAAAGTACTATCATCAGACATAAAAGGAGAAATTAACAGCAATGCAATAATAGTAGGGGACCTGAACACCCCACTTACATCAATGGATAGATCATCCAGACAGAACATCAGAAAGGAAACAGTGGAATTAAATGAAAAACTAGACCAGATGGACTTAATAGATATACATAGAACAGTGCATCCAAGAACAGCAGAATATACACTCTTCTCAAGTGCACATGAAACATTCTCAAAGATAAACCGTATGTTGGGAAACAAGGCAAGCTTATATAAATTTTAAAAGAGTAAATCATATTAAGCATCTTTCCTGATGATAATGCTATGAAACTAGAAATCAACTACAAGAAAAAAGCTGGGAAAGTGACAAATATGTGGCGATAAAACAACATGCTACTGAACGACCAATGGATCAATGAATAAATCAAAGGAGAAATCAAAGAACACCTTGAGACAAATAAAAATGAAAACACATCATACCAACTCATATGGGATGCAGCAAAGGCTGTCCTAAAGGGGAAATCCATAGCAATACAGGCCCACGTTAACAAAGAAGAAAAGTCTCAGGTAAGTAATCTTAAACTATATCTAACAGAACTAGAAAATGAAGAACAAAAAAAATCCCAAAGTCAGCAGGAGGAGGGAAATAATAAAAAGAAGAGCAGAAAGAAATGAAATAGAAACCAAAAAAACAGTAATAAGGCTCAATGAAACAAAAAGCTGGGTCTTTGAGAAGATAAACAGAATTGACAAACCCTTAGCCAGACTTGCTACGCAAAAACGGGAGAGGGCTCAAATAAATAAAATTAGAAGAGGAGAAATTACAAAAGATGCCATAGAAATACAAAGGATTAGAAGAGAATACTGTGAAAAACTACATGCCCAGAAACTGGATAACCTAGAAGAAATGGATAAATTCTTAGACTCATACAACATCCAAAAACAGAATCAAGAAGAAGTAGAGAATCTGACTAGACCAATTACCAGTGAAGAGATTGAAATAGTAATCAAAAACCTCCCAAAAACAAAACTCCAGGACCAGATGGCTTCTCTGGAGAATTCTGTCAAATATTCAAAGAAGGTTTAATAGCTTGTTCAAGAAATGTCCCTCGTGAAGTTGAAAATTAGAGTACATACTTATTTAATCTTAGAAGAAATAAATATTGCTTCATATTTGATCCTAGATTATCTAAGATACTATTGGTTTCATATAATTATACTTTTAAAATAAATATAATGTGTTACTTATGCATCGAAATGAAAATTGATTTTTATGCCTTTTGTAAGAGTTAATATAAATTCACAAACTAGAAAAATTTGTAAAGCCATGTGTTCCTCTTTTGTTATTTGTTTTAAAACATTGATACTGTATATTCGTAAGGCCAGGAGGAAAAGTAGGTGGACAAGAAGAAGAAAATTAAAAAAAATAATAATTTTTGTTACCATAGCTGATCTCTTTATACTTCATCATGACACAGACTTTGATATATTCCATTTATAAAACTTGGACTATGATCTGAGTATATGAATCCTGTAGGTCACTATGAAATTTGATCTTGGCAGGTATTTGTTACCCTCTTCAATGTTAATTATGCAGTTTAGAATCCAATTGTTTTTCTGAGAAGTGTGATTTGAGGTTAATTTCTAGCAAAGTGAAAAAAAAAAAAGACAGCATACTCTCATGGGGAAAGTATAGTTTATAAACCGAAGGAAGCTCATTTACTGTATTTAAATTTCAATTGCCGTAGTTTATGTCAATGCATCTTTATGACATAAACTTTGACCAGCAGGAGGAGTCAAAACGGTTGGTACTCGGTTTAAAATTTTAAAAAGCAACATGCATCTGATGACTTCTGAATATCAAGAGCACCAAAGCTTGGTGCCAGTTGATTGAATTCAGATGTGGTTTCACCTGGAAATCACTGCGGCCTCTTTTAGTTATTAGATGGCTGAGGATGTTGGACTATGAAAATCTTGATATGTATGGAAAGTATGCTATATTTTAAATTTCTTTTTTCTACAATTTATCTCTCCCATACTCTCTCTTCTTCCCTCTGAGTTATAAGAAAAATATATGCTTGTATTTAGTTATTTATTTCAGAAGGATATTTAGTAAAATGTAAAAGTCTGCCTCCCCTATCCTGCTTCTCTCCATTCTACTGTCCAGTGATCTTTAAAAATTGATGTAATCCCATGTATTTCACAGGTGTCAAAAATATTTTTCCTGGTTTGTTCTTTGTCTTTTGACTCTGTTGTGATATAAAATTTTTACTTGTTTGTAGTAAAACATATCAGTCTTTTCCTTTATGGCTTCTGGCCTGGTATGATACTTAGGACAGCCTTCTATGCCTCAAGTTTATCAAATAATGTGCCCATATTTTTTCTGTTATGGTTTTATTGTTTTCAATTTATATCTTTAACCTAGCTAGAATTTCATTTGATTGTTTGTCTTTTCTTCTCCTTTTTTGTTTTGAAAGTCCTGAGGAAAAGATTTGGCTTATTATTTTTTCTTAAATAATTGATGTGCCAGTTGCCCTATCTCCTTTATTTTGCTTTTAAAATATCACAACCTTCTCTCCTTTAAGTTCAAATAAAGAACAAGCTTTTTATGGTCGCTGTTTCAACTCTTCTACTTTTTGATCCTACAACAAATGTTTGTGGTGTCTCAGTAGCATTGATAAACATAGCTCCAGAGAAAATTGTCATAAAAGAAGGAATTTATTGCATTTCAATCTGCTTTTCATCTGAAATAGAATGCTCCTCTGATTTACTTAAAAGTGCAATAAAATGGTTGAGGAAAGCTTTTGATGGAGAATTTGTTAACAACTGAATTTTTATAAAGCCGTAAAATGGCAGGTTCTTGGTTATAGGAAAATCCTTTTGTCCATTTGGAAGACAAAGTAAAGCATACGGTTTCAGAACTCAATTAATTTTAAACCAACCATAACACTGAAGCTAAACTAGGAATACACGTTTCATTAAAATTTTAGCTACATCCTGAGTCCTAGACTCTTGCCCATAGACCAGATGATGAGGGGAAAGCAATCTTCTGTCTTGGCTTTGTATGTGGACACTTGGAGAAGCCAATCACCCCTCTATGCTACAAACTGACTGGCACAATCACCTATAGTTATTTCACAGAATAAAATATCCTTTTGTTGTTCCTATTCTAATCCCCCTTCCTGCCCCTTTACTTGTAAACTTCTGATGGAAATGATAGGAGCTAAGATGATTGTCTCAGGGACCAAGGACCACATAATTTGTAGTTGTGATAAATTTGGTCACAGAGAAATA